GAAATTTATTCCAATTCTATTTTATAAATATATATTAACTTCTTGACGTATTTGGACCTATAATTTGACTAGACAAGTAATTATTTATTTATAATTAATAATTATTTTCTATTCCATTCATTTCATTATTTATATATTTCAATTTCATTTATAAATATATATTAACTTCTCGGTGCATTTGGAAGTAGACATTACTTATTTAATTCGACATTACTTAGTACAAGTAATTCGACATTATTTATTTGTGGCTAATAAATATTTTCGATATATTTAACTTCTATATTTTATACATTCTCGATGTATTAAGATCGTCTCTTTTATTTTTTGAATTTTCTCTATGCTGTGTCATAGAATCATTTATAAAATTTTTCGTGAGTTTGATCCAAATTCTTTCCTTTTCAAGAAATTTGAAAAAATTAAATTTCAAAAAATTGAATTCAAGAAATTCATTTTATTGTGCTATCATTATTTGTCCATTTGATTTATAAAAAAATTTTTATAAAAATACAGATTTTCTAATAAATCTTAATCCATATCTGCCAATTTCTGAAATTCTTGTTATGTAAATGTAAAAATATAATTTATGAATTACATATTATTACAAAAAAAGAAACAATTATTCAAAATCACTAGTTTTGATTGAACATTTGTTTTATTATTGAATGTACTTTTTTTCTATTTTATGAAATAGAAAAAAATAAATTTGTGAGATGTTTATTTTGCACATTATTTATATATATATTATTTATATATATTTAAAATTTATTATTATGTTTTAAAACCTAAATAGATTTATACTCGATACAGCATGATAACAAAGATTTTGTTTCAGACTTTTCTTCAATATTGACTGAAACGAAAATTTCTATGATATTTTTGAAAACATGGGAACTCTTTTTTCTTCTTTTTTTTCTTCTTCTGTTCCCTAAAAAGTTAAATACTAATCATTTCGATTTATAAAATTAAGATTTTTTTTTAAATGAAATTGTTCAATTAAATTTCTCAATGAATGTTAAAAGAATTAAAAATGTTTTATTAAAAATTAATATACAAAAAGAAAAAGTAAAAGTAAAAAAGATTTTCCGGTACCGGGAATCGAACCCGAGCCTCCTGGGTGAAAGCCAGGTATCCTAGCCACTAGACCATACCGGATTTCGATGAATCTGTTCACTAAGTTTCATCACGTGGTATTCAGGGTCAAAAAACGCCATATTAATATAAACATATGTAATTAATAATTTTTCAATTGACATAAATAATTATATAATTAATTACATTTATCTAATTTAACAAGGCGATTGATTATTCATCAATTCATCAACAATAAGTAAAATATTATTTGATAATAATATATAGATATGATATATGAAAGAAAATAATAAATCTAATTTAAATAGAATTTATAAAATATAAAAATAAGAAATTGTTTATTATTATTAATGTTAAAAAAATTTTACAAAAAATAATACTATAACATTAAATATCTATTATACTTTTAAATAATAATAATATAATATTATATTATCAAATAAAGCTAATGCTTTTTTCCATGATATTTTTAAATTTATGTTTATATCTTATTAAAACATATAGTATAATATTTATTTTGTCTATAGACTGGTAATTCCGGACGTATTGTCGTCATAATGCTGACAGGTCAACGAGTGGAAGTTACTTGTGATCCTCAAAAAGTGACTGCTGGTGATTTGTTTCAGGTAATTTTTAAAAAAATTTTTTTAAAAAATCTCACCAAAAAAAAACTATATTTATTTAGTGAAATTGATTTTGAACTAGTAGAACGATTTTTATTTATAAAAAATTTAATAAAATCTATAAATTGAATCATATCGTTGATCTGTATTTCGATGATGAAAAGTGATGGAAAGAGTTGAAGTTCAATGGAAAGTATGAACTGGCGAGAGTGTTCCTTGATGATAAGAGATTCAATTTGCTTCCTATTATTACTTCGAATCACATATACCGCGTCATTGTTATTTTTTACTAATTTTGATTGCAATGTATTTTTCGACTCCGGACCATTCTCCGTTAAAAATATACTTATAAATAGAATTTGAATCATCGTTTTGTGAATCGTCGAGTACATGTCGAATGTCACAGTACGAAGACCCAGGCGTGGGTGGTTATTCATGAGACCACAAATTCCGGCGTGAACTCATGAGAAACTCTGGCATTCTGCCAAGGTTAATCGTTATATATGACAAATCCACAAACCATGAGTTATGCAATACCGTGCCCATTAACGTGCCCATAAACTGAAACAAGCATCTTAATCGATACAAAAATCTGTATCCCCATAGAAAGAACAATCGATCCGTTCTATCCAATATAATCTTGACAAATTTTTTTCTACAAAAATATACAGCAAATTTCTATTAAAGTTGAAATATAATCTTACACATTTCCAATCTAAATACAAATCTAATAAAATTTATCGTTTAATATTATTAAAATTTTAAATATATTCCATTTATAGATAATAAACACGCATGATTCGTTTCAGAATATTTCTTACAAGAGACATGTACAATTAAATTATTCCGTATTCATTTAATGGATGTGATTTGCACGTTTAATCAAATCGTACATCTTTTATCTCGTGTATTATATCATAATGCATCGATTCCAGGCTATCATGCAAGCTGAAAGCCTCGACGAAAACTTTACTCTTGGATTGGCGGTGTTATTGGCTGGTGATTTCGCGATTTTACCTCCCGATACTAAATTGAACAAAGTCGCTCCCCCAGGATGGTTGAGCAGTGGCAAGAGCAAAGGACTTTTGGGTCTTCCGACCAGTTTTATGCTATATCTGAGGCTTAGGTTCTTTTTACCTTCTCTACGTGGTGTAAGGTATATCTAACTTTATTTATAATTGAAATGTTATTTATTACAAGGGAACGTATCGTGGATTTTGATGAAATTTACGATGATACCAATACTAGTTAAAAATATTGTATATATGAAATTAGAAGAATCATTTTTATAATATATAAGAATAATGATAATATATTTATCATTATTTTCATTAATGGTGAATTATATACAAATAATAATCATACGTATGACTATTATTAATAAATTATTTTTATATATACAAAGATGGATGAATTGCGAATTATGAATCTGTTTAGGAGTTGGATATCGAAACATTTATTATATTTGCAAATACGACGGTGTATATTGGAGCAACAGCTGGTCTGCCCGTATTCCGAGTTAATTAATCTGACTGGACTCGCTCTTCAAGCTGAATTTGGAAATTACAACGTGAACGTGAGTAAATTCGAGATTTATTAATTTTAGAAATATCGATCAAATTAAATGTCAAACCATCTGTTGATAAAAAATATGTACGTATGTACACAAAAAATAAAAAAATGAAATAGAAAGAAGCTTTATAGATCGTCGATTGTTTGATGCGAGTTTATAATCATTGATATTTTATATAAAATTAATATATTTTGATAAGAAATAATCAGAAAATCAAATTTTAATTTTTTCTATGGTTTTTAAAAAAGATATCGCAAATTATATTTTTTTAAATTATAATATATCTTTTTCTTACCTTTTAATAAAATGATGTATAATTAGACATGATCAAATATCATTGAAACACGTTAACAACTTATTATTTTTGTTCATAAATATTTACACATTACTAAAATAAAAATACATCATAAATATTAGATTGTTCAAATAATAAGTTTTTATTATCTCCAATTCATTAAAAAAAATCTGGAAAATTGAAAAATATAAAAATATAATCGTTCTTGCAAAAACAACGTGAATTAACATTTAATTGCATCAAAAAATAATCATTTACCTGAAATCTAGCTTTAAAAACGTTATGAATAATATAATGTTCACCATAAATGAAACTTTCTTCATTTGTAACGCAAGTTAAATACGAGTTAAATACCATCAAGCTACATATTGGTCACTAGCACACCGCGAACTAATTATAATATTTACAGATGGAAACATGTTTGAACACAGTACAAAGTCGTTGAATGTTTGTTTTCGTTCTACACAGTAATTATATAGGATCATACCAATAATACGACACGAAAATATTCGATTTATTTTTAGAAATATTTTACCTTTTATAAATCATCATTATCCTTAGCTAATAAAACGTTTTAATATTTTCAATAATTGTAAAAATAATTCTGTTTACAAAAAAAATATACATATAGCCCTAATCTATAATATTTAAAATTACCTAGTTAATTATATTCAAACAAATAATATAATATAATACGAATCTTACATACAGAACTCACTTTATAATTTTCACTTCTACAAGTGTAAAATCAAAAAAAAAAAAAAAAAAAAAAAAAAAAAAAATTTCAAAAAAAACCCCCTTTTTAATTTTTCCTTTTCCAAGGGTAAAAAAAAAAAAAAAAAAAAAAAAAAAAAGAAACAAAATAATTCCTCCGAAAAATCACAACAAAAGGAAGAAATATAAAAATAACACGATCTTCGCGAAAAAAAAATTCGAATCATTTATCGTTTTCGATACATAACGAGATATAATATTCTCTTGTCTCCGTTTCAGGAACACGGTTGCGGCGACTATTTCCTCCTAGAGCACTACATCCCGGAATCGTTGATCCTGAACGTAGATCAGCATCAATCTCAGATAAGCAACGAAGGGCCGGAAGCGCTTCGTGCCCGCCTCCATCAAGCCCATCGCGACAGGCGCGGCTTGGATTCGAACAAGGCCGAGGAGATGTTCATAACTCACGCTCAAACGCTTCCGGATTACGGGTCGCATTATTACATAGCGACAGTGGACTCGAAGGAGTTGGAGAAGGTGATGGCCCAACAGAAGAGGAGAAAAGCGGCGGATAATCGCGACAATTGCGAGAGATTGATCGATTCCAGCGAGAATATCTACGGCCAAGATATGGCCAGGTCTCAAGAGTATCAGATTCGTGGTCGAGTCGAGTTATCCCGATTCGGATCCTGCGAGAATATTCCCAAATTGTCGTACGACGAGAGGAAACCGACCGGGTTGACCAAGAGTGCAACAGCGAACGACATCTATGGGGCTCACAAGTCCAAGTATCGCGTCGATTCTTGCAACAATAATAACATGAATAACGTGAACAATAACAATAACAACAGTAATCACGGAGGGAAGAGCGGGAAAGGTGGGAAGAAGAAGAGCGAGAGCAATGTTTGGTTGGCCATCCATGCTCAGGGTTTGAAACTGTTCGAGAGAGGCGGCGAGCCTAGGGAGAGGGTCGAGTTGGCGCAGTTTCAATGGAAAGATATTCAGACGTTGAGTTACAGTAAAAGCTGCCTGGTCGTTTACAGCAAGGTGAATGGGAAACGGTGCAAGTTCAAGCTCAGAATGGATCATAGAAAGTAAGGGTTTTAATTAATTGGGGGCTTTCGAATGTTTGGAGAATGTTGAATGGGGATATACGAGTATCGTTGAAATATTTTTGTAGTTTGAATTATTTATTTGAGATTATTTAAGATTGCGAGTAAATTGGATTGAAAGAGTGGTATTAAAACGGAAACGGAATAAGATGGAATCTACTGTTGAAAAGCTAAGCACAAACAGATGCGAAGAAAGTCGATTCAAGTTTGCGCATTCGAATGGAATTTAAAAGTGGATTCAATCCAGGTATGTAGAAATAAGCTTCGAGTTTCAAAGTATTTTTGTTTTGCAGAAGTTACTTCGCTTTCAAGCTCACTTCTCTGCACCATCAGTTCTTCTTAAGGCTGCGCTCCGAGCTCACGTCGTTACAGGGACTCGCGAAAGGTACGTCTTAATTTTCATACTTGTTTCTCCGTTAAATGTTCATAAATTATAGATATTACAACATATCAAATGTTAACACCGATACTCTAAATAAAAATATAAAATAATAAAATTTTCCAGAATTCGGTGTCCCTATGACGGTGGAAGCAAAGTCCTCGCCATCGAAATCGAAGTCTTACGACAGTAAGACGAAGATAGCTATAGCGAACACGGTGAAGAACACGCAATCGAGGCCTAATTATTCGACGCAGCTGGAAGAATATCAGAACAAAGAGAACGAGAATCCCCAAAAGGACGCGGGGATAATCTCAGTTCCAAAGGCGAAGGATGTTATCCGCGAGCCAGGCTTCTACTCCTCGGAGGAGGACGCGCTTTACGCCCAAGTGAACGTTCGATTGGAGCCGGAAGGGGAGTCTCGCGACACGGAAGACGAATCGGAGAGAAGTTTAACGAGTCCCAACGAACCCCTGTCCATCGACGGGAAGGGATTGAAAAACGAGGGGAAGATCTACAATTGTCCCAGGATAGAATTGGAGACCGAGACCGAGTGCGGTTATTCGCTTCCCAAGATCGTCTCGTCGGACGACGTGGATCAGTTGGAGAAGCCGGACAACAATCCCGAGGAGTTGTATGCGGCGATCAACAAAGTTGGAATCTCGAGGAAAAATGAATTTCCTGTCCCGGACGAGGTGTGGGACGTGTCCGATGTGAAGAAGTCGTTGCACAAGGTGTGGAGAAACTTTTTTATATTCATTCGATTTTTCTTCTCCTTCTTCTTCTTTTTCTCTAAACTCTCTCTATATCATTTTGTCTATCACGTTGCAAAAGAAAGAATGTCGAAAGAAAGATGTTTGAGAAATTTTCTCTTTCTCTCGTCGTAGATGAAGACCTCGAGTTTACCGAATTACGGAACATCCAGGCAATCGGGTGGTTACCGAACACCGAGTCTGCCACGTCGTCTAGGGGTAAAAATGGGAACGCGGGCTATCTACAGCAGCCTCGTGCAGAAGGACACCGCTCTTACCGACGACATCGAGTCGCTATCGTTAAAATCAGACACCGAATCCTCGATTCAATCGTTATCGGCGCGATCCGCGGAATCTCCCCTACCGGAAGCATACGTGCTCAGTTAGTAACACTTTTCCTTATTCAAAATTTTCGATCGTTGGTATATAACTCTACTGCATCGTTTCGTTCGATAATTGGATTGGATATTGGATTTATGTAATTTTAAAATTAGAAACTACGTAACTACGTTAACTCATCGAAAATTAATCGAAAATTATCCAACAGACGCCGATATCCGCACGGACGACGAGACATTCCGTGTTCCGGAGGACGAGTCGATGTCCGCATCCTTGGCGGCTCGCCTCGAGGAATTGTCGTTCGCCGAAGAGCGAATCCTGCAGACGATCAAGCTGGAGAGAGGCCACGGTGGCAGCATAGGGTTGCAAGTGACGGAGGGTAACGACGGTGGCGTGTACGTGCAAGCGGTCTCCGTTGGAGGATCGGCCGATATGGCCGGAAACGTGAACAAAGGTAGGTACCGTTTTTCATCACGATTCGTTGCATTAATTCGACGAAATTTATTGGCCGCAGGCGATCGTATCGTGGCGATAAATGGACAGAATTTATTACATTTGCGGTACGAGGACGCTCTGAAGATGCTGCAGAGCTCGTCCGATACGATCGAGTTGGTCCTCTCTCAGCCAACTTCCCGGAAAAACGCGACCTCCAGGCAGAATCACGAGCAACCCGCGGAAAATAATTATTTGAAGTGAGTGTCGAAAGAAAATTTTTCTTGTTCGACTGTATATTTTTTTTTTATTTATTAATTCTTTGTTATTTTTTTTTATGCATTGCAATATTAAGCTAATTATTTTTGGAATAGAAATGAATTTATTTATTTATACCAATAAACGATTCTATAATTTATCTTCTAATTATTAGATTATTAAATTTTATATAGTGAATTTTTGTTTATGCTTTACTTTATTTTAAATTATATACTTTTTAACAAAAATTAGACATGTCGATATTCCATTTCCTCTATGTATGATGATTTTAACAAAGATTAGAGGAAAATTCTAACGTAATAGTAATGCAATAGTTTTAGAACTATTGCTTGTGTTACGAAAGGAATGTCGATTATCTGTGCGATAGAGAAATTTGAAATTTTCTAAATATTCTGAAATTTTATGAGAACGATAAAGAATAAAGAAGAATAAAACGCGTTTGAATTAAATGTATTGATCGCCACCATAATCGATTACATACTATTATTTAAAATAGAATATAAAATCGAAAACAAATATGAAACGATAATTAAATGTACAAACATGGAGAAAAAGAGAATAACGAGTTTAACAGGATGCTTATTGATTTTCTCTGCAAACTTTAAAAGTGCGCTTTCATTGGTCTCAGTGACATCAGATTCGACGTGTCCTCGGAAGCGGATACATCGAGCATGACAAACAAATGGCTCGTTCAAAGGACCACCGACGTTGCATCGGTGCAAAACACCTCGAGCGCGTATAGCAGTGCCGCATCGAGTGCAATGGGTAATCACAATGCAAACAGCCTATACATGGCCGATCTCGTCGATAATGGTGCGCTTAAGTCTGCCAGTATGCTGCTCAGTATAGAGGACTTTGACGTCAGCAGGACAAGTCGTCAAGTTTTTATTTAATCAAGTTGATAATCAAGTTAGTACCCATTTCCATCATATTTTTCATCATTAAAATTCTAATTTTTTATCGTTATATCTTAAATTCTTATTTGTCGTTGACAATTTTTAGTGATAATGATATTTAATCGAAGATTAAAATATTTTATTACAAACAATGAATTATATTTTTAATTTGTTTTTTTCTTTTTACGTAAGTTTGTTTACAAATAATAATTTAGATTCGAACACTTCGATGATGAACACTTTTTTCGTGTAAAATAATATACTTGTTTTTTAAATATTTAAAAAAAATTTTCTCGAGCGACCTTTTGCCTTTAAATTTTGTTCCCTCGATCAAGTGTTGCTTGAACGCGCAAAATCTTACAGAAAATACCATTAAGGCCATTATGTCCATTACGTCGAACGTGGCTGCATCGAGTACGTAACCTAATCGAATTGTTTTTATCCGTTTAACGGACGAAGCCTTGCTCAGAGTTCGAACCGGCACCATTTCCTGCTCTTCCTATTTGCGCGTTTAATACAAATTATCACGTAAATCTCTTGTCCCTTGGTTATCGAGAGAAGATTAAACTCTGGTCTTGAACGATCGAAGTACCCATAAATTTCAATTTTTCCTTTCTTATTTTGTTTAACACGGTCAATCGAATTAATATCAAAAGACTGATACATAAAAAAAAATAACCGCATCGATTAAAATTTTATTTTCGCGTTTCTCAACGAACATTTTTATAACAACAAAATAAGAATGAAAATTCAAAATATAATTTCTACTAGAATCTTTCAGACGTTTTTTGCATAAAAAATTAAAATATCTATCTAAAGTTTAAATTTCTATCGACACGATATCAAAATCTCAAAAGGTTAAAAAATATAAAACAACGTATCGCGACAAAATGCGTTGCGACGAGTCATTCCGTCGCGTCACATCTGGAAGGGAGATCGATTTTAGAATTTCGCCCCGTCTCATCAGGGTCTTCTTTCATTCAATGCGAAACTTAAACTTGGCGGCATCAGTGAATCACTGTTATTGACTTGGCGAAGAGGGGAGAGGGGCAGAGGATCGTCTGTCATTTGTACGGAATCACCCTTAGTATCCCTCGGGCGGTCTTACCTCACGCTACCCGCGAGTGTTCCAAATTTTCTCCCTCGAACATCCTCCGAGAAGAAACAATGCTCGATCCGTTGATTCGACGCGATGCGTGGAAATCGTCCCCATAGATTCGCGTTTCCAAACGTATACGTGCACCTATAACGACACCAAGTGAACGATCAACGCAGGGCGGTGCGCGACATTGAGTGACAGTTTGTCGCGGAGGCGAGGAGAGTCGATCGACATTTGCACACCATGCACACCAACGTTCGATCAATGGTTGTTTCAGGCGCGGAGTCTGGCAACGGGGCGCCGC